CCTCCCGCCGGTGGATTCCGCGTGGTCTGGCTGCGAGCTTCCCCGAAGCCCCGTGCTGACCGAACCTGACATTCGTGGCATTCCAAAAGGCCAACAGGGTCGGGCTGTCCGTATCTCAGGGAGGAGGCTCCATGACAGAGAAGGTGTGCTTCAGAGGACCCACCACATAACACTTCTTCACCAAGAACACCCAGATCATGCTCACTCTAAGATGTAGTGGGATGAGCAGAAACCATTGGGGATAGGCTGTTCCGCAAGTTACCTGGCATCATGCCATGTATGGCTTTTAAGGCGGCAACCAGCAGCTTGAATTGCCCCCAGAAGCTCAATGGGAGCCAGTGCAACTCATGTACCACCAATGTTATGTGCACATTTCATGGTATGCTCAATACGGAAGGTGGTGTTGCATTTTGGACCAGCTGAAGCTTCCAAATGCTCTGGACAGCCCCATGCAGAGTGTGTCACAATAATCCAATTGGGAGGTGACTAAGACATGAGTGACCATGAGCAGTGCCTTGCAATCTAAGAATGGGTACAACAGGTGCAGAAGATGGAACTGTGCAAAGGCCCTCCTGGTCATGGCTGCATCTGCTCCTCGAGCAGGAGCTGCAAGTCCAGGAGGACCCCCAGATTGCCTCAGGGAGTATTACTCCATCCAGAGGTAATAATGGAAAATCACTAGATATGGGGTACTCTAAAACCCACATTCACTCAGTCTGAAGTCAATTTTTCCCCATTAAAACCTGCACAGTCTCCAGGCACTGAGAAAGTATCTTTTCAGCATCTCTTGGATGGCCCAGGGCAGAGACATATAACTGAGTATCATCAGCATACTCTGTGCTGACCTCACCCAGCAGTTTCATGTAGATGTTAAATAGGGGTGGGGAGAGAGTTGAGCCCTGTAGCACCCAACAAAACAGAGGCCTAAACAGATTGGAACCCACCTTAGAGGAAGGAAGAAAATCACCAAAGAACTGTGCCCCCCACTCCCAATACCCTCAGCTGGTCTAAAAGAATGCCATGATATTGAAAACCATGGAGAGGTCAGGGAGAGCCAGGATGGATACAATACTCCCATCCCAGGCCCACAAGTGTGATCAGTGCCATCTTGGTACTATGATAATCTGCTTCCTCTAGAGCCTTTCAGAGCTGCAGGCCTACCACCTTCTCAGGAACCTTCCCCAAAAGGGAAGATTGGAGACTGGACAAAAATTGTCCAGTACTGCTGGGTCCAGGGATGGCCTCTTGAGGAGGGGGCAAAATAACATTTCCTTTAAGGCAGGTGGAATGGCCCCTTCCTGAAAGGAAACTTTCAGTGCCATTTGGACCCAGCTCAATGTCACCTCTCAGGAACCTAATCAGGTAGGTCCCCCTCTTGGAAATCTGCCCACCTGGGTTTTGGGTGTGGCATCAGCTGAAATGCCAGGGAAGGGATGGGAGTGTACCCATTGTTATCCAGAAGACTCTGTATTGTGGTAGCTTTCAGGGGCGCTACTACACAGACAGCCAGATGTGAGAGCCTATTTGTGAAATGGGGCTGTAAGGATAAGCCTTTCTGCCTGAATGGCTTGAGTCTATGCCAGGCTACCAAAGGAGTTCCCCAGTCCTTCACTGGACCCAAAGTCAGGGTAGCTCGGGAGTTCATAACAGCCGAATAGCCAGCCGTACAACAGCCACAGGACGCAGGCTAGCTTTCTCGCAGGTCCACCGGCCTGCTACTGCTTCCCCTGCTATTCCTGACCTGGGTGCCCAAAGATGCCACCAAAGGGCATTTCCAGGCCATCATTATTACAGAGATGCACTAGATTTTGGTGAGGAGAGCAGCCACCACAACACAGCTGGTACTGGTGTCACAGCCAACGTGGAGGCCACCTACAACTCCGTCACATAGCTTTCTTCCCTGAGTTCCCACAGTTCTGGCCAAACACCATGCACTATCAGCCAGCTGTCATCAGCTCCAGGAAGGAGCCATACATCCTTTTCTCTCTTACCGAGCTGCTGTCTGTCCCTCCACTGGCTACCCAGAACAATCCAGCCAACCTATCTGGAGGGATTGCTCTGCCTTCACCTTCCATGCAGCCACAGCTGCAATTTCTTGCCCTGTGCCAGGACAAAAGGCCTCAGAAATGCTGCAAACCCTCCCAGGGACTGACTCCAAATCATCTGCATCTACACTAAGCATCCTAATCTTTTTTCTTTTCTCCACATCCTAATCCATCTGGAGCTCCAGTATAAACATCTGGCCTCAATGCTACCTTTCCTGTTGGAAACCAGGCTGAGGCTCTGAAATCTCAGCAATATCTAAGGCCAACATATTACCGCCAGTGTCTTCTTCAGGAGATGTCTTCTTTTCCTTCCTCCCTTCCCTTTTATTCTTGTTCCTTTTCCTTTCGGTTGGTGTTTCCTTTTGTTGTTGTTTTATATCATTTTTATTAAAGAAGGGGTTTTTTACAAAGTTAAAAGATAAACACAAAGCAATATAGGGAGGGAGGGAG